GATGTGTAAAACATACAAAAAATGTAATTACCTCTCATAGATATACATCCATCTGTATTGCACCGGACCACCTATAATAGCTTCATGAGCTAAATGTATGACAAGGTGTTCCATACAATCAAAGAAACTCGGAGGGAATATTTTCTCCAACTTGCAGACAGTTTGAACAATGGTGTCCTTCATCTTATGTAAGTCATCTAGATGTATCGTTTTCGAACATAATACCCGAAAGAACATGCACAACTCTGTTATCATGTCATATACCTCATTTGGAACAAAGCCTCTTATAGCAAGTGGAAGCAACCGCTGCATAAACACATGACAATCATGGCTTTTAAAAGCATAGAAACTATCATCTTTCATATTTACACAGTTCCCTATGTTGGATGCATATCCATCTGAAAATTTAAGTTTTTTCAACCATTCACAAACTTTGTGTACTTCATTGACGCCCTCTTTTCTTTTCAGAGTGTAAACTCCATCTTGTTTATAGAGTTTCCCATTGCTGGGGATGGGGTTTAATAAAGGTCGATCACATATTAGCTCAATGTCTTTCCTCGCATTCATATTGTCTTTGGACTTAGGGGTACCCATGCATGTGTGAAACATATTTTCTAAAAAGTTCTTCTCAATATGCATCACATCAAAGTTATGTCGAATTAACAACTTATGCCAATAAGGCAACTCCTAAAAAATACTTCTCTTTACCCAATTATGTGTAACCCCGAAACCATTCAGCTTTTGATTATCTGAATGATATGGTCTACCTTTGTAAACGGTGGGAAGAAGATGAACTTGCTGCCAAATTTGATCTCTAGATGGCTCCGGAATAGGTTTTAGAAGCAACTCTTTTTTGTTTTTCCGAAAGTTAATCTCATCTTTCCGAAACCTATGTCCTTTGGGCAAATGTTTTCTATGACAGTCAAACCAACATGGTTTCTGTCCAAATTTAAGTTGGAATGATCCCGCTTGATCTCCACAATATGGGCAAGCTAACTTACCATGTGTACTCCATCCTGACAACATTCCATATGCAGGGAAGTCGCTAATTGTCCATAGCAGGATGACCCTCATTCGAAAATTGTTCCTTCGATAGGCATCATAAGTTTCAATTCCATGATCGAACAACAGTTTTAGTTCCTCTATTAAAGGTTGTAGAAAAACATCCAAATTTTGCCCAGGATTCTTTGGACCAGGAATGAGCAAAGAAATTTTTATGTATTCGTCTTTCAAAGCCAACCAAGGAGGTAGATTGTAGATTGTAATAAAAACCGGCCAGCACGAATATGAGGTTGAGCTTGAATTATTTGGAGTGAACCCGTCTGTACACAACCCAATACGAACATTACGTGTCTCTTGTGCAAAATCAGGAAATGTTGTATCAACATGCTTCCAAGCCTCCCCGTCACTAGGATGTATCATCTTTCCCGGTTCTGTTTGATGATCTGAATGCCATGTCATATGTTTGGCTGTCTTCGTTGAATAGAACAATCTTTGAAGTCGTGGTCCAATTGGCATGTAGGTCAATACCAAATTAGGTACCTTGCACATACTATTCGTGTATCTGTTTTCATTACATACTCGGCAATGATCCAAATGAGAATGCTCTTTATAGAATAACATGCAATGATTTATGCATGCATGAATCTTTTCTTTTGGAAACTCTAATAACTTCAACATTTTCTTAGTCTCGTAGAAGTTTTCAGGTAGCTTCTCACCATTGGGTAGCATTTCTTTGATCATCGGAAGCAGTTTATTATATGTTGAGTTGGAGACATTGCATTCTGATTTCCAGTTCAACAACCTGGTGGTTGCTGACAATTTAGAATAAGTTTTACATCCATTCCACAAAGGCTCATTAGCATCTTCTATCATGTCATAGAATGCCTTGGCGGTGGGATTTGGGTCTTGTGGAATATGATAATGGTGCATGCTTTCATTAACCATTTGCTCATATTCGTTGTATTCATCAGGATCGAAAGGCTCGTAATCCATGGGGCTTGAACATTGACCCACATCTTGAGAAGGTGCAGGATTTGAGCATTGACCCACACGTTGAGAAGGTGCAGGATTTGAGCAATGACCCACATGTTGAGATGATATGTCATATGATTCACCATGTGCATACCATACATAATAATTGGGCATGAATCCATTGCAAAATATATCATACTCAACCAACTCTCTTGTTTTGTAGCATTTGTTCTTGCATTTGAAACACGGACATCTAATTTGAAGAACCTCCTTCCCGTCTATAATTTTTCTTTGAATATTATTCGCATTCGCAAATGCAAAATCCAAGAATAAATTGAGATGGAATTCAAATTCCGGATGAAGATAACCCTTTTTGGTGGCTCTCATTGCATACATCCATTCTCTGTTCGACGACATAGCAACCTACTTTCATGTATTATTAAGAAATAGAATGGAGGGATTAAAGAAAGGACTTGAAAATAGGAAAAATGATTTTGGTTGTCACTGTGATGGCATCCAACTTTTGTTTAGAAATTACAACATCATATTTTGAAATCCTACAAGTTATAGTTATGATTGGATGGATATTTTAGAATATAACAAAAACACTTACCTGCTAAGATGTGATTATTATATTTGCACCAGCTTCAAGATAATAGAAAACACTTGTTTCAAACTGCATATCATGAGAACTACAAGTCACAACAATTTTATATAACGGGTCAGGCATACAAGCAAGAAAAACTTTAAAATTACATACCAATGCCAGGTAAGCGGAAAAAAAATTGACAGTTGTTAATCAATTAAGATCATAATATAGCAAGTTCATAATATAGCAATGTCAGGTGTATATATATATATATATATATATATATATATATATATATATATATATATTTGAAGTTGATCGAAATCAGCTATAAACTATTGGTCTTTTGCAGGGGCAATACAGTCTTTTATCAAGGCAATAAACAGGGGACAAGATGATGAAGTGTATAGGGGACAGATTTAGTGAATCACAGGAAGGGGAAAAGTTGGGAAAACAGCTTTATAGAAGACTACACAGTGGGCAGAGAAATACAGAGAACAGGGAAGAGTACAAAGGATAACATCAACGTACAATATTATTTCTAAAAACTAGGAAACAAATTTTGACTAGTTGATGTAGACCAGGGACCACTTTACTGGCTGCTTTGATTTATTCTAAAGCAAAAACGTGCATGGAATAAAACCAATTTTGAATTAGTCTTAACACAAAGTCTGCAGTTTTGTATAACATTTGTGCAGGGAACTACAAAAAAGTTCTTGGTCATACTCAATTAAGTTCTTAACAGCTATAAACCCTCTAGAACTATAACTAACAATGATTGAAAAAAAAAAATTGGTTGATTTTTTTACCGCTTTTGTGACGACTTGTTCTTGGAAGCCTTTATTTTCTCTACTGCCTATTATCAAAATACATGATTAGTTATATCAAAATACATGATTAGTTACAAATATTTTTAAAAATAAATAAATCATTTGATTTCCTTGCCTTTGTTACCCTGTCACCGTTGAACCCATTTTCAGTCGCCAAGAAGTTTAACAATCCCTGGAAAATGATATTATCATGCCTTTGTTACTTATCTCTTTTTATTAAAGTATTTTCAAATTTACCTTTTATAACCCTATTAATTCTGCACAAATAAGGGATACCCAAAGATCTGAAAAGGGATCCAAAGAAAGCGTCTTAATTTGATAAGTCAACATTAAAACTAAAAGAAATAGCAAAAGATAAAGCCATAGAACCTAAAAATGAGGGAGTTCAGATCTAATTGATTATGCACTAGATATAGAAAATAACAATGTGGTTGAGACACGTGGTGAAGGCAATAACTCTGTAGAAAAGAAAACCAGTAGTGAAAAAAGAAAATCATTAGAAAAGTTATAAAAAAGCCAAAGCGGGAGACAAAGCCATACAAACTGATACATTAGATTCCAAGAAATTGGATGCTGAAACCACATCATGCTTCTTGCAGTTAAACAATACAAACTCTAAGTTCTAAAGGAAGATGAAGATTTCCAGAAAATAAGGTTTTTTCTACTATTAATTTTCATATATCTTTGGCACACTGACTATTACAAACCATTAGCCTCTATTCATAGAGAAGTTTAGTAGACAAGGAATTGACACAGGCAATGAGATGAAAACTGGTACAAAAAGGTACTGTGGGAAGCATTTCCTGCTACTTTTGTTGAAAATGTGATTCGTCTCACTTATGTATCTTTGTGGTGATAAATGAGCTGAGAATGGAGACAAATCATGGCTTGCATGGGAGATCTATTTGCACCAAAAGTGTTGGGCACACACATATGTTGATTGTTGATTGAATGTGCATGTAATAAGTAATAACATTTTGCAATTGTAATTTACAGGTAATCTGTGCATTTGGAAGAATTGGAACTATGTTTGGATGTGATAAGTACAAGATTAAACCTGATCTTCTCTCCATAGCAAAGGTATAATCATAATCACTAAACATTATATAAATAAAAACAATTAAAATTAGATACAAAGGCATTGACCTTCACCTATGGAAGACCAACGTTGATCTTTTGCATGGTAAACATGGACTAGGTGGAAAACATTCAAGTCATGATAGGGTTTTGGGCTCTTTATTGGCCATGGGTAGTTGCATTAGTTATTCCATCTGGCTAATCATTCAGGTCTGTTTATATTAATGAAGAGATTATCATAAAAATAATGACTAAAATAAGGAAATTTACTATTGTAAAATTGATAGATCGTCATTTGGTAGAAGAATAATAAAAAGTTATCACTTCATTAAATGGACCTTATATATTAATACCCCTAATTTTATGTTAATATCCCTGCAATGACAAAAAAAAAATACCCCTGCAATGATTATTTTATTGGTGGTTGATTTTTAAATCATTAATTTAGTTGCAGGTTTTTAAAAATTCTAGACTTATTAACCAATGAGTATTTTTGTAATTTAATCAAGTAAATAACGGAAAGAGGCCCAATGTCATTCATTCATGGTGAAGGAAGTATGTGAAGAGACTGTCTCAGAGAAGGTTGAATCTGAAGAAGGGTTAAAACGTTCTAATAGTGTTAATATCGATCTGAATGAGAACGAAATAGAAAGAAAGTTGAAGATGAAGAAAAGGAACAAGAGGTTTATGTGTCAGGAAAAGGTTTAGGGGATGATATTACAAGTTCACAAGATGCAACATTTGAGGATATAAAAGAAACAACTGGTGAGCATGTTACTACAGTGGCCTATATAGAGGAGGAACAGGCTCTAAACTCAACGCCTAAGGAGACCCTTAAGGAAGAAGCAGAGGACCAATCAAGTGATGCTCAAGAGGTAATTCATGTTCATTCTAAGTAAACCCTAACTATTCCTAAAAGGTTTTACAGTTTTAATTGTAGATCAATCTAACTGGAACTTGAAATGTATTGTTAAATGTACTCAAAATACTTGTGTTCATATAGGTAAGTGAGCAGGATGAAAGTGGAGCAAACGAAAAAATAGAACACGAATTAAATTACAGTCGATGAAGATGTGATTGAAGTATGTGAAGAAACTCACTTAAAGAAGGGTAAATTTGAAGGGGTAGAACCTTCTGACAAAGATGCCGGTTGTTGTTCACAGAGGTGAGTTGCAGGTTGGACCAGCAGTGGGAGGGAGAATGTAATGCGTCGACGACTTTGGAGTAGCTGGAGGGCTTTGGTGTCGGGGGTGACGGCGGAGTTGATGTCGGAGGTGACGTCGTTGGCGGAGGCAGTGGCCGGCTTGCAGATCGGAGATGCGGAGAGAGGAGCAAGAGTCTCGTGTGAACGAGAAAGCTAAATCGAAAGCGAAAGTGAGGTTAGGGTAAAATCTAAGCGTGCTTTCTCTCAGTAACATTGCGTGTATTTACCAAATTGCCCCATCTATTTAAAAAAGTAAAAAAGAAATTGGAATTTCACTAACGGATTTCCGACGGAAGTTCAAATTTGGTGAATTCCGTTGGTAAACCGTCGGAAAGTTGTAACGGGTTACTGACCAATTTTATTCTGTTGCGAAACCGTCGCAAAAACATTGCTAATATCACAGTAAGTTGTCTGTTGGAAATCCGTCGGAAATCTGTTGCTTTTTTGCGACGGAATTTTCCGTCGCTAAAATTCTGTCGCTGTTGCTCTATTTTCTAGTAGTGAATGCATTGGACCATGTGATGATGTTGCTAAGTGTGCAAAGGCTTGCTTTTCGAAAAAAATTCCAAAATTTGTTTGTGAAGGATCAGCACATCAGTGTTGCTGCTTTAATTAGGGGTTGAGCAATGCTTTCATAACCGTTCATTAAGGTTAATACCTCGGTAATAATATCAATGCCTGTGAGTTAATGGAAATCCCTTGTAAATCATTTTCCAAGATCTTGCTAATAAAGTTCAAATATCTAAGGTTAATACTTTTATGTATCTATTATTTTAAATGGTTGCTTTTTTTTGAACTGCAGACTTGCATTAAAATAAAAAGCTAGCCAGGGGCTAGAATTACAAACACAAGAGGAAAAACAAAGAACAAGAACCAAAAAAACAAAACAAACAACAAAATTAAAATTTATAACCTGTTATAGCATTCTAGGATCTGATCACAACACCATTCAAACCACCTTAGATTCTACCCCTTCCTCTTTCTTGCATTGATCCAAAGGATCGAGAGTGATTTTACCTCATAAGCCAACGCCGATTGCGATTTGGAAATTGGGCTTGGCGAGTGAGCCTTTAAATTCCGATACTTCTAGATCACCCAGATAAAAGTTAGCATTATAGCTTCATGAATCTCAGCTAGCCTTTGATGCCCCTCAATATTCTCTTTACATTGAAGAAAGTCACGGGATGACGTAAGAGGATAATCCAACAGCTGCCACCAATTGCAGATAAGCTGCCAAACTTTCGTTGAAACCGGACACTCCAAAAAAATATGTTGTTCAGATTCCAGAGCTCCATAACAGATCCTGCATAAATTTGAGGAACATATTCCAATTTTTGTCACAGATACGCCAAGCAAGAATGTTTAATTTTTTTGGGGTCAGCAGATTCCAGGACCATCTACCAACACTAGAAGGAAGAGAGAATTTGTCAATGTGACATCTTAGAGACCCAACCAAATATACCCCAGAAGGGTCAAGCGACCAAGACCATTTAAGAATCCCATTGACATTCAAAGACTGATGAAAGTGATTAGAAAAAGACACACTATCCTTTTCTAGAATTTTTGGGATATTTAGTATTGTACCCCAGCAACCATTTTTCCTCTTCGCAATTGATGGTCTGTCGAAACCCCCATCATCTCCATAAATAGATTTAATCACCTCCGCCCAAGTATTCTCAGGATAGTTTCTGACTCTCCACCACCATTTGCCCAGCAGAGCTAAATTCTGGGCCTTTAAACTACCAATCCCAAGTCCCCCTCCATCTTTAGCAGCCAGGATTTTATCCTAATATATCCAAACCATCTTCTTGGAGGCTGTATCACCCCCCCCCCCCCCCCAAAAAAAAGAACCGCATCCTAATCTTCTCAAGATTTTTGATGACTTTAACCGGGGCTTTATACAAGGAGAAATAAAAGGTGCCAAGACTACTCAACACAACTTTATAGAGTGTTAAGTGTCCACCAAAAGATAGATTAGTGGCCTTCTATTTTGATAGTATCGCCTGAAATTTCTCAATGATAAGGTTCCAATATAACACTCTAGCTATAGAAGCACTAACTGGCAATCCAAGATATATGAAAGGAATGGATCCAATGGAGCAATTACTAAATCGGGTCAACAAGTCTAATTCGCAATTTGGAACACCAAAGCCAAATATCTTACTTTTGGACATGTTTACCTTGAGACCTGAGGATAATTCAAAACATCTAAGGATTCTGATCAAGTTTTTTGCATTTTTAATAGACCAAGAACCCAAAAAGATAGTGTCATCAGCATATTGAAGATGCGAAATGGACGGACCTTGGCGAGGAAATTGGATACCAGCAAAGACTCCAGATTGTTTTGCCATCTCCAAGGCGATATATAGCCCTTCAGCAACGATGATGATAAGAAATGGTGAGAGTGGTTCACCTTGCCTGATACCACGCTCCATACCAAATTCAAAGGTAGCGGACCCATTTATTAGAACTGAAATTCTTGAAGAAGATAGGCAACCATGAATCCATGACCGCAACTTGTCCCCCAAAGTCCATCTGATGCAAGATCGAATCGAGATACTCCTAACTGAGGCAATCGAAAGCCTTCTCGAAGTCAACTTTAAAAGCAAGATCTACCTTTTTATTCTTTTTTAGCCAAGCGATTACTTCATTTAGGATAAGAGGCCCATCAAGGATATATATATATATATATATATATATATATATATATATATATATATATATATATATATATATATATATGTTCCTTATAAAAGTCGTCTGCACTAGGCTAACCACCAAGTGAATCACCTTCTTAAGCCTTTTCGCCAGGATCTTAGAGATGGTTTTATATAAACACCCGATTAAACTAATGGGCTTGAAATCGCACATCGATATGGGGTCCTGGACTTTTGGGATGAGGGTGATGAAAGATGCATTACAACTCTTGTCAATGACCCACGTAGCTTCAAAATGTTTTACTGCAAAGTAGAAGTCATTTCCAATCACATCCCAATACTTTTTGAGCAATGCAAACGAGAAATCGTTAGGTCCAGGAGCTCTATCCGAGCCACATGCCCAGATTACTGCTTTAATTTCCTCTAGTGTGAAGGGGGCCTCAAGACAGACAACCATATTATGGGTATTCTAATCCCTAAATTTAATATGTTAAAAAGGGTAATATACACATTTATTCCTTGTTTCACCGGTCAATTGCACCAAATGTTGAAGTAAGAATAAGTCTATATGGCAAATTTGTCCACCTGGAGTCTTGGACTACACATTGATTGATTATCGACTAATTTCAATTTTTTTTAAATTGATAAAATATTAAAACAATAGAGCATCAATGAAAAAGCCATGTATGTGTTTTGATGAAGACATTCTTTAGAAGAAAACAAGAAAATTTTGACCTGGAAGGTGTTAATTTGTTCTTGTGGTGAGCTGATGTTGTTTCTTTGGCTTTGTTTCAAGTGAAAAAAAAAAAAAAAAATAAGAACCAAACAGAGCTTTGTTCTAAAGATAGGAAAAGAACAAGCACCAAGCTATTTACCTGGTTTGTTGGAACTACCTGGGGCATGAGAAGACTCTCGATATGAAAATCATCGTCCACCTACTTGCGATTGAAAATTAAAAGATGATTCTAGATTTGGAAAATGATTTTTGTAGTGATTTGTTCAAAGAGGAAATCAATTTAAAAAAAAAAAAAAAAAAAAAAAAAAAAAAACAATCCTGATTTTTAATGATCAAATTTGTATTTTATGTAGCTTCATTTATGCATTGTTCTTTAAGATTAATAATAATAATAATAATAATAAAAACTAGATGTTTTATTATCTAGTTGGGTATTGTTGCCAAGTGTTAAAAAAGACTTGGTTTTGATGAACATGATCCACCATCTTAATAATATATCTCAAAAGAGAAATGGTTTTAAAAGATAATAATAACTTTTTTTTTTAAATAAATTTTGAATCAGAAATTCCACATGGACATCGTGTTAGCACCATATAAACCACCTCGGATAACAAATATGCCATGTAAATGCAAGGTCACCTAAGAAATCAAATAACCCTTTCATTTAATATGAATATATTCCTTTATTTAACCCGTAATTTGAATGTTTAAGGAGTTATAAAATGCAAGCAAAAAACTTCGGTCACAATTTAAAACTAAAACAAAAGTTGGTTGGTTTATATTGAAAATATCCCAAATAACTACCTTATCTCATTTATTCGTTTGGTTGGGCACATTGTTTTCCTGCTAGTATTTTGATAGTTTGTTTTTTTTTTTTTTTCTTTCTGAGATCATTAACTAATTAATATAATGTGAATGGCACCAAAACAACGCATAGTGACGTTTTAAAAAAAATATAAGCATAGATTTCTAAACGTAGATTTTTGAATCCATTGCGAAATCATGACGGATTGGTGAATGATCTCCTAAAAATTGTGAATTTAGATCTAATGAAGACATTTGAGACCAATGGCCAACGACGATTTACGAACATAACAATAAAGTTAAAACAAATCTCGTAGTAGCTGATGTCGATTTGTGTAAGACTGCAGGGAAGAAACTCATGTCTTTAAAAGTTTTTACGTCGCTCTAAGACTATGTAAGCTTTAGTATCAACACTCACGATTTGATGTAAAATATTTTTCATTCCATCGGTTATGGACGAAAAGATAAACGTAGATTGAGCAGAAACTTGGAAACGTAGGAAATCATATTTTGAATTTGCAAAGATCGTAGAGAGAGAGAGAGAGAGAGAGAGAGAGAGAGAGAGAGAGAGTTATCGAATTATCCCAAATAACCTATATCTATAAAATTAACGCTAACCAGGTTGATTCAACCCGAACCCTACTAAGTGCAAAGTGGGCCTAAATCAT